TTTCCAGACAGAATTACAATGTCTCCCAAATTCAATACTTGCAATCATTTTTTTCCAATCTTTTCTAAGACATTTCTAATAAATCACTGTTTTTTTGAAGATAACACCCAAAATTCAAATCTGGCATATTAATTATGCAAGGTGAAAATATGTTTTTGACTTGCAGCTGCATATCATCAAGCTGCAACCCAGTGTTGATCAGGCTCAATCTAATCTAATTTTATTATAAAAATATTAATTTAATATTTTCTGTTGAATGCTTTCAGAGAGTAATCATCACTCATTCTCCTTTTACATCCTTACCAAAGAGCATGTATCCTTTTTGCATACATATTTCTGATATTTATGCCAGTGTATATGTATACTGAACTTATTGTAACATGCTTAGTTAAGCTGCACTATCGGGCCAAGGTGAGTGAATCTCGTGAGTCGCCATATACCGATTGCAAGTGGTCATTGAACTTGTTTTAGATCTCAGAACGTGGTTAGCTGAAGTCAGCAAGCAGCCAATCTGGCGGTGGGGATCTAAGCAGGAATCAGCAAGCAGTCTCATGCAAGAGAATCAGAGCTATCGCTCTGCATTTTCAAGTCTTTGGATAGGCTACTGTATTTTACTTACTTTTCATGCTTACTGCAGTAAAAATAATCATTCAAAAAAGTCAATCAGACCTACAGTACACAGCCTTCCAACAATAATAATCCTTATCACATCGGACGGACATCTCAAAGCACTTCACACGATTTACTGTGAAATGGAGTGACAGTGTGTTTGTAGGCAATAGGCAACCAGACAGAGCTCCGTAGTAGCCACCTACACATGGAAATTCCTATGACTGGAATAAAATGTGCATTCTCCGCCTGGAGGGCCGCACTCTGATTGCCTAATTTTGGAGTATGTTAGGCGCAGGTTGGCAAGAAGCAAGTCTTGGGGAACCCAGAGTGCGCACTCGGTAAAATTACATAGCTTGCTATTGAAAGCAGTGTCTGGCAAGCTTCCCACGGCTTGTACAGCCACGACAAGCTCTACCCATCAGAGCCTTGGCTAACACGGTTACCAACACCACCTGACCAGTGAGATGGGAAGCTGTGGGCAGGACAGCATTGGTAGATGTGCTCGGAGTCTACATGAAGGTCTGCGGAAATTGGTAAATCACTAAGTAAACTTAAATTTGCTCCCTCCCTTGCCTCCTTCAAGGCACGTCTCAAGACCCTCCTCTTCGAGCGCACCTTCAGCTACCCTCCTACCTCCCTGCCCTCCACCCTCCATGATCCCAACCCCCCACCTGCTCGGGTCCAAATCCCTAACTGTCCACGCTTGGCATGTCCTCCTGACGTGAAGGGCGCTATACAAATGTAACTTTGTGCTGTACTGTATTAAATTTACTTAGAACTGGTCACTGAAAAGGGTCTTTTCGCACTTTCGGGGCTAAAAAAGGGTGATCACTGGTTGTGTTAAACAAATAGTTGCTGAAGAGAAGTGGTTTATTTGGAAAATCGGTCAGGACTGTTCCAGGATGGTTGTTGGCAGCAGGTGGCTGCTTCAACAGGTTTCACTGCATATTCACATCAGAATCTATCAATGTTTACTGCAAAATAGTCTATACTTCAATAATAAGCGATATATGTTGATCAGTTATGTTTTTGAGACAACAAAAAAAAAAACAACAAGATTCATTATAAGCTTCAGTCAAGAGTCAAGCTGCACATTGGTATGAAGAAATGCAGGGAAAAAAAGAAAATGTAGGTGAGGGAAAGGAAGAGGAGAGAAGAGAGTGAAGAGGTCAAAGAAAGGTTTGAGACCCTTGAAGGAAGGGAAGCAGCGAAGCACTGGGATGGAGTTCAGACTCGGGCTGAGAGTGAAGCCGACACGATGTAGGGGTTGGGCGGGGGGGAGAGACGGAGAGAACGGAGGTAGGCAGGTAGGGGATAGTAGGTGGAGAGGGGAGCAGGGTGTTGTGGTGAGGAGGATCTTGATCATCTGGGGATGGGGGAGGGAGGGGGAGGATGTGGTGGTGGGGGACAGTACGAGCGAGAGTTCTGAATGACATAAATTAGACCTTTCTTGAGTTCAATCAAAGATACATTTTCGAAAATTTAGAAACATTTTCTGCAACATTTAGCATATCAATACAGTATAAGCAAGTAAATTACACATAATCAATGTAAGGTGTATTTATTCACACAAGTTGTTTCTCCACCTTCTTATTTGCTTTTCCTACTCTTCAAGTTAAAATGTAACCTTACGGTCCACATATTATCAAATCTGAAATGATAATATTTGACTTCTAGAAGGAAATTTTGATAAATTAGCGAATCTCCAAAATGTGAAAAAACAAATTTGAGTATTACTGAACTAACTTTCAAAATCCAAGAATTCAACAATAGAGCTTATAGATTTGGCTAGATGATACAAACAGCAATCATCAGATTTCAATTAGTAGAAATAAAATGGAAAGCTGTGAATCCTAGAAATCTTTCATGTCGGACCATTAGCACCCGTAAGAAACATAGGTTCAAGTTTTGGATGCCTACCTTGACCAGACAATTTTTCTTCCTGATGCTGATTGACTGGCCCTGGATTTCCACCATTTCTATATTTATACAACATTTTCAATTCACTTCATCCACTTGCAATCACAGTATTCCTCTCCAACATTTCATGGCTTCTTCTTCACGCAACCTTTAGAATCACAATTCCCTCTGAAGCAAAACTAATCTTTTACTGCCTTTGTTTCTTTATAGATATCTCTTACATTGATGTACTCCCTGTGTAACAGATCTTTCAACGCTTTTTCATTCCATACTATTTTCCTCCAAGGTGAAACAAATCTTTTACTGCCTTTTCTCTTTTAATAGCTATACCAAATTACATAGAATCAGAGCTGTCACTCCACATTTTCAAATCTTTGGCTATTGTATTTTACTCACTTTTCATGCTTACTGCAGTGAAAATAATCATTCATAAAAGTAGTGGCATTTTGATGCAGTTCACTACTGAACCATCAAGTCCCATCTCATTACTGTATTTTAAATTTAATTGTCCACTCTGTCAGGCTTCTGATTTCACCGGGTCTCCATGGGAAGGCACTGAGCAGAAGCTAGCCTTCAGAGGGCCAAAAAGGAAATTAAAATAAGATGGTCTTCATTGGGCCACCCTTAGCAGCTGCAAGACTCAGTATCATCAGTGGCCCCATTGCAATCCTTTGACAAAAAGAGGCAAACAGTAATGAAAAAAGATTTGGGGGATAAATATAATTTCAAAGATGAAAGCAAAGCCTAGAAGAAAAACACAAAGACGTAGCAAACAAAATATTTTCCCATATCCCCAAAATTATTCTGAATGCCTGGTTCTTTTCTTTGAGCTATAAACTATATCTGAGGGTAGTAAATTAAATTGATGAGCTTAACTCATCATGAACCTCGCCACTGTGGAGTGCTCCAAAATATAATCCTATGTGACGGGTGCTATAAGTAACTGCAAGTTAATGTGAAACTGCATAGCATGCTATTGTAGTGTCCGGCAAACTTCCTGTCGCTTGTCCAGCTTGTACCCATCCTGCATTTTACACTCAGAGTTAACTGGAGCTGAGTGGGAAAAATCCTCGCTCCCACTGACTGGTCTGCCCCTCCAAGTCCTGCTGATGAACCACGCTGGCTGGTCTATCGACAGCGCTGACTTAAGAGTATTGTGATCGCCTGGCTCAGGAACTGGAGTACGTGACCGCCACAGAAGGTTGAAACAATTCTGTTGCCAAGCACATCATCTTGAAATCTGTGCTTACTTCTTCTCCCCACGCACCCCATGCATAAAGTAGCAATGCAAGGTCTAAATGGAGCATTAACAGACAGATCAAACTGAAACAATCATACACAAGAATGATGAAGAAGTAAACTTTCCAAGCAAAAAAAAATCCAAATCTAAAACAAGGCCTCAGATGAAGTGTACTATAAAGATCAGATGAATCATATGGCCTGTCTGGCTGAGAAACATTAAATAATCAACATCATAAAATTCATTTTAAATGAAAGTAAATTTAGTGTGTTGTACATGAAAGAATGAGGAAGAATTGCATAAAATTATATGAATACTGTAATGATTAAGAACAATATGATGTGAATTTAAACAGCTCATACCTTAATTGAAATCCAAATAGAATATTCCAGTGATCTAGAGGCAATTTTTCTTTTAAAAAAATGTTTTAAGCTAGAATACAGTGAAGCTCAATACAGTTAAAAAATGAAGCTTCAGGCATGATCTGCATATGGTTATAATTTTTAAGGATAAAAGCGAGATTGGATTCATCTCACTCTCAACATTCTATGCACATTGCCAATGGACTTGCTTGGCAACTACTTTGCACAGCTGCAATAAATTAGGCTACCGGACACTTTTCTGAAATGAATGCAATGCACATTATGCCTCATGGGAATTTGCACAGAAATAGGTGGTGGTGGTGTGGGGGGGTGGAGGGAAGATAAGAGTTTCTTCTGAAATCTGCTGGGGTTCAACTTCTATACATCTCCAAACCATGGGTGTCCTCCCAAAAAGATGGAAAGGTATTCAGAAGGTAGAATTAACTAATGTGTAATATTGTTCAAGAAGCACAATGCTTCTCAGCAATTGTAAAAGCACTCAAGTACTTTACAAATTGTTCAAATCCAAGTGTTTATAATATTTATAGTGGTAGAATTTTGATGTGAAAGGAAGCTCAACCCAGCACTGCTTCTCTAACCAAAGAGAAAAAAATGAATTGAGGAGTCATTGGACAATCTTTCTTCTATAAACGTAGAAATTTAGGAAGCCCAAGTTGTGGGGATGGGACTAGTATTCCTATACTGTCGTATCATAGAATTAAAATAATTAAGAGAATATTCCCTTTTGTCAATCTTAAATCCCAATCTTAAAGCACAAAACTCAATCTCATAATGTGTGGAGAGTGATGAAAATGAAATAGTATTTCAGATTTTGAATTAATCTTAACAAGGTAGGAAGTATTTACCATCATTCAAGTCTTGGAGTAAGTTCTCTTGGCAGGAGAAGTCCAGTTTCACTTTGATGTTGACAGTGAAGGTAGCAACCTTCCCAGGTTCAAGTGGAAATTGTGCCAGGGTCTCTTCTAAATTCCAACTCAGGAATTCACCATAGAGTTTTTCTGTTGAAAAAAAAACAATATTTAGGTGATGCTGTGTTAAAAACATTATAAACAGAATAATCTTCTATAGTATAAAGAGCTTATATCTAATCGTGGTTTATATTGGTTTGATTTTGAGATAGTCTTAGCTGCAACCATCATGTTATGAAGAGCTGAGTTGCAGTTGTATTGTATTGTATTGTATTTTTTTTTGCAATGCAGCAAAACTGAAACTTCTTAAAGATGTGCAATTTTGATTCAAATTTTTAAAAAAACTGAAAGTGCACATTAGAATCTCAAATTTGAAGTGAGATTCGCCCATCAAGCTTAAATCAAGATGGAGACCAGATGGAGTAGAAATACACTTTATTTGGATTAGGCACTTCTGTAAATAATTGTGAACCTAGCCCCAGAACAGATAATGATGCTCATTTATCACACATGACTGTTTGTTTCATATGATGGATCAAACCCTCTTAGTGCCAGGAGGCCTGAGTCAAGCATGCAATAAAATTTATGGAGATAAAACAAATCAAAAACCACAGATGCTGAAAATCTGAAACAGAAATTTTGTTAACACACAGAGGGTCAATCAATACTTGAAAGAGAAAGATAAGTTTACTTTTGAGGTACAAATCATCAGAACTAATAAATATATACATTTTATAAATATCTTCCTCTGATAGAAATGCAGCTGTACAGTAGTTATTGATCCCCACAATAACAAAAAATACATGATTCCCCAACCTAATCAACCCTAACCTTCATAAAAAGCAACACGTTCACAAGTTACACATTTAGTTGTGAGGTATAAGTTGCTTGTAAATAAAACCAATCTTCAAAGAACATTAAAAAAAAGTTTCCAGTTACAACCTGTACTCCAAAAATCCAGTGTCAAAGAGACAAAACTCTCTGAACTTAAGTTTGATATTCCACAAATGAACAAATAATACTTACATATTATATAGCAGAAACATCATCAAAACATCTCAAAGCGCTCGCAGGAATTTCTGTGACCACAGTGATTGTGTATTTGCAGATAAACAAGGCGGCCAAGTTGCGCACAGCTTGTGCCACAAAAACCCATGAAGTAAATGACCAATTTACAGAGGTTTGTCAGCTAGGACAATAAATTGCAAGTAAACATATATACCACTAAAAATGTGAATTTAACTTCATAATGCAGGGATGTTGAAACTAATTGTAGCATCCCTTCTGCTAATTCTGTATAGCTCGGGTTTGAGCCTGTAACCTTCCAGTCTGAATGCTCTAGTGCTACTTCAGGAGATGCCTTCTTGCACTAGGCCATAATAATAATAATCATCTTTGCATTTGATTAAGCATCTTATCACGTCATTGAGATGACTCAATTCATTTTACAGAATATATTGTAAAGTGGATTGACTGTATTTTGTAGGCAAACTGCGGCGGCCAATTGCACACAGCAGTGTCCCGCAAACATGGAATGAGGATCAAGTGACCAATTTTTTTTTAAAAAAAAGAACTCCCATCAATCCCGCAAACATGGAATGAGGATCAAGTGACCAATTTTTTTTTTAAAAAAGAACTCCCATCAAGGGAGTTAATGCTATCCTAATGTTTGAATAGTTTACTTTGCTAATATCGTTTTTTTCAGCATCACAATGTATGAGCTAAAAACGTATAGAATCAGATTAATTCATAGATCTACCAGCAGCCTAATCGTTCAATGGATTTTTAAAGAACTTTTAAATCTCTTCCAAAAATCCAAGATTACAGACTTTATTTGTAACTTCTGTCTTCCATTCCATAACTCTGATAATCTAGTTTACTAAATAACCAAATAAGTAAATATTTCACGATTTTAAAAGTGACTGAAACATCTTCAAAATATAGTTGATATCCAACTTTTAGTTAGACTAAACTAATCCAATGTTTTCTACAATCTGATGGATTTCAGTAACAATATTTTATTATGAGCAAAGGTTCCCTATCACCTTTTTCAAATCATCATGGACACAGAAAATCACCTGTTTTGGTTTGTGAATGCTTAAAAAAAGGTTATGAATTATTGTCAAGTCCTCCTGCATTTTATCTGCTAGCTTTTAGTCGCAATATATTAATCACTTTAATATAATAATTTTTAATTTAATTCTAGTTAAAGATTCTATTTTAAACTTTTCTGTTTTGGTTGTACTTCCCAGTCTTAATATTCAGACTTCACTTTTTTTCAATTTCATGTGATTCATGATGCTTGCAGACAATGTAGATTATTCAAAAAGTAGGCAGCACTGTCAACGTACCATTTGCATCCAAGCGATTTGATGCTGTCCAGACGATGCATCTACTTTGTGTTCACAAGAGGTGTTGATACATAATAAGCTCAGACAGATCATTAGATTCAAACCTGCAGCCCGTAAACTTCTACATTATAGTAATGGAATACTAATCAAAAATAATGAGTGCTTTATGGAGCACATTTCCATCCCAATTTGTCTGCATCTGCACATTTACAACGAGATTCAATCATTCTGATTCTTTCTGAACTGTCAGACAATGCAAGCATCACTGATGCTTATATTCCATGACAGGATTAGGAATCACATAGTCTAAGGTTACACTCTAATGTAATGCTTGGGGTGTGTTGTATTGTCAGAGGTGTCATCCTTCAGTGGATGATCCAATGAGAGTACAGTATGGGTTGATAGACAAGCAGATGATCCAATGGCAGCATGGGGCAGGTTGGTGGGACAGGTGGATGGTCCAACAGGTGAGCCTACCCACTGACGTCACTAAAAGTTTCAAAAAGTTGCCGTTTCCGAACTACGATTTTGTTACAGCCTGAGTCATTGACTTCACATACAGGGAAATAGAGGACAAAAATTTTGACACAATGTTAAATTTATATAAAACCACATTTGGTCTTTGTGTACTGTCCCGCACCAGGCTTCGGGACCACATCACTCCCACCCTCGCTCGCCTCCACTGGCTCCCCATCCCCCAGAGGATTGATTTCAAGATCCTCATCCTCACCTACAAGGCCATTCACGGCCTTGCTCCCTCCTACCTCTCCGACCTACTATCCCCTACCTACCTGCTCGTACCCTCCGTTCCTCTGGCTCCGGTCTGCTCCACGTCCCCCGCCCCAACCGCCCTACCATCGGTGGTCGGGCCTTCAGCCTCTCAGCCCCAGGCTCTGGAACTCCATCCCCCAGTGCCTTCGCCGCTTCCTCCCTTTCCTCCTTCAAGGCCGGTCTCAAAACCTTTCTCTTTGACCGTGCCTTCAGCTCCCCTCTCGACTCTCTTCCTCCTCCTCGCTCCCTCCCTTCCCTCCCCTCACCCTGACCATTTCCCCCCTCCTCGCTCCCTCCCTTCCCTCCCCTCACCCTGACCATTTCCCCCCTGCTCGGGTCATGACCCAACTGTGCAGCGCCTTGGGACGTCCTCCTGACGTGAACGCTTTATAAATGGAATCTTGTTGTTGTTGTTGTTGTGTAGTTCTAGACTATTACAAGCTATTGTAGCATTGGAGAGAGTGCAGTGTAGATTTCAAGGATGTTGGCCTATAATGTTGTAAGTAATTCTATGTAATCCAAGTCCATAACCACTTCAACTACCTTTGATAAATCAGGCGCCAATCATACCTGCTTCTGGAAAAGGAAGATCTCAGACTTCTTACATTTCAACATACTGACAAGCGAGCTCAGTTGCTTGCACTCACCTAAAACAGAAGTCTGTGCTTTGTTCAAGCTGCACATCAGGACTCTGAACTCAAAGTCTAAGCTGATACTTCAAACTTTGATGGTTCTCAATCATTCCCTAGTACTTGAAAATGTAATATTTTGCAGATAGGCTGCAAAATGGCAATATGAGAATCAGCTGCAGGGAATATCCTGTGCACATCACTCCATTAACCTACAAGCAGACTTACCACAATATTTTCTGATGACATTTAACAACAAGACCATGGAGGGCTTTGAAAGTGAGGACCAGGATCTTGAACTGTATCTTCTGTGTGATTTAATGACTTTTTAAACATCTTTTCTGTGCCTCAAGTGTACTTTAAAACTGACCCCAGAGCAGTTAAAAAAAACTTAATTCTACAAATTCAGTTAAGTCAAACCCTTATTAAAATCCACACCTTTATTACTCCAGACTGGCCTACCCAGCTCCAACATCCACAAGCTTCAGCCCAAAATTCAGCCTTTCGCATCGCTTCCCCCACTGAGTCATTTTTACTTGCCACACTCCACTGGCTTCTTGCAGATCGACTTCAAGATCTTCACTAAACTATAAAGCCTTGCACACAATTGCTCCACTCTACCTCTGTAATCTTCCCCTGCCTGCCTCCATCATTAGGCAAAAGGGCCAGCTGCACACTCCTCGCCCTCTATGCCTCATTATCCAAGGCAGAGCTTTCAGACAAGATGACCCTTCCTTTTTCATCTTCCTTACTCAGTGTCCTGCACAGACTCTGTTAAGAGCTCCAAATACAAGGTTGAAAATTAAGATAAACTTTGCTCACAAGCCCAAACAATCTATAGCTAAAAGCACAGGTGATTTTCTTAAATAAATAAGCAAGTTGTTGCTTGCACCTCATTCAGTTCCTATTGTGCTTTCATCAATATTCTTTCCTAAGCTAGCTCCACTTCCTACACCAATTGTCTAAGACCTTTCAATCACTTTGTTAAACGGAAAGTCCTCATTTTATGATCTGAAACAAGTTTAAGTGCAGTTCCAGGCACATCCATCCTCCACAGAGACTTTACCCTACATGACAGGTGCTATATAAATGTAAGCTGTTATTAATCATATTATAGCAGACTAACAAAAAAGTTGGAGGAACAATGTTCCTCTGATTGCTCAACATTTTATCCCGTGAACAGTTGAGCCATATCCCTGGGCTGTGCTGAATTAGGCGAGATCAACAAACTCAGTTGAGGCTTCAATAAGGCAACAATTAACTATCCTCAGCTCCACAGGTTGAGAGAAAAAAGATCATCCAAGGTACCACCAGCAGCTGATCCTTGAAAGGGTATTCAAAGAGCAAGTTCACTTATGTTTATGTTACTGTCAATTCTCATTTGAAGAATAGCGTGGGTATTTGACAAGGTGCTGGAACTAATTCCTATAGTCCTTATCTCTAGTGGAAAAAATAAAAAGTGAACTGCCTTCAAGAGAGGGTAAAATTAACAAGAAAAAAAGGTTACAGTCATCATAAAACGCTGAAACACTTCTGTTCTATATGGTGTGCTTGATTTCAATGAAATACGATCTGTCCCCTCCATCCCAATTCAAAGTCACTACCCTATGAGAGAATTAATATGCTCATGTGTTTTTAAAAAGAACCTAAATTATTTATCAAGGCCTTACTAAAATTCAAATATATAACATCCAAAAAAAAATATGCTCATCGGCATAGGTAAATAACAAAAAAAGTATTTGCTCAATGCCACCACACCAAGCTGTATCCTCTGCTCCAAATTCAAAGAGGTAGCAGAAAGCAGGCCCAAGTTCAGTCTTTTACTAGGGACATTTGATTTCTGGGCAGTAATATACAATATAAAGTTATTTTTCACCCCCTACAGCTATCATTCTGTTTATAGCGAAGCTGCCAATCCCAATAGGTCAGTGTTCAAAACAAGTTAATAGGCAATTACAGGAATTCTTCAACTTGCTACAAGTATGCATATTAAAATAAAAGGTTAACCTCAGAATAATCTTCGTTGCAGCAGATTACTTTTTGAATTCTTCATTTGATGTACAATCAGGTAATGGTCTTATCAGATACAAAATGGAATGCGGAAATGAGTGGTAAATTAGTTGTTAAGAATGAAGTAACTTGTAGGTAATGTCCCTTGAGATTTCACTGAAAAAGAGATATTCAGACTTGATTTTTAACTTTGCTTTAAAATCATGCGGCAATGGATGAATTTAGTACAATCTCCACAGATTAAGTACCAATTTCTGAGTCTTCACACAGACCTTTATGTCATATCCAATTACATCATCAAACCAAGGCTGCCAGCACCTTCTGTCCTACTAAAATTCATCATACCACACAATGTAAACAGTTAGATTAAAATTATCATCATGCGATTAGCATGGCTACACTGCTGTCCTTCTAATTTTCAGGCTTCCAAAGAGACATTTGAAAGAGATGTTTCTTCAATAATAACACATTTAATGCAGAAAGTTTTAGAATTGCAATTTTTTGTAGAATCCAGTAAAAATTGACGAACCCAAGTTATACTAGACGCCATGTCTATGTTAAGGTATACAGAGCCAGCAGACAAAATACCCAAATGTTCTCAACCTGGGATCAATGAAAGTGAATTGGTCTTGTTACTGATCAATTGTGAGTGTCAGGCCTCACAGAAACTTTTAAAGGTAACATTTTAAGTTAAATTCATCAGCGTTATGAATGAAAAAAGGTAGTTGATGCATTCCCTATTTCAATGAATAACTTGTTTTTTTCATTCTGTGTTGTGTGACAGCTGCTTTTTTAAAAAAAATCTATCTTCAGATGACTTTCATTTCAACAGTCAGCATTTGTCAGATTATGTAATCTAAATTTAGCATTAACCATAGAAAAGCAGGAAAATATCTATATAGCAAGCATTGCCACAAATAACCCTTTGAATACTGAAATACCTTTGTAGTTTTAGAAATTACACATTTTTCATTACACAATGTCAATACATTTCTATTCAATCGGAATGAGGTAAATGTGCCGAGTCAGTGTTCTGCTCAGTGTGCATTTCACTTTTTCTTAAAGGAACTCTTCATTTTGATTTTAAATTTAACTGTGATTTTCAATGCATTAATGAATAAATTGTATTTTTAATCTTTGAAGCATCTCAAAGCACTTCACAGCAATTAATGCCACATGTGTACTGACCCAGCACTGCATACGAGTTCCAAGTCCTAACGCGACTTTAACTCCAAGGCAAGAGTGCTACAATTGAGCCAGGCTGACAAACAAATGTTAATTTATTCATTAAAAACTACATTTCTGCAATTACTGAGAAAAACTACATTATTTTACTTTGTATTGGAGAAGGCAGCAGAGTGCATTTGATTTGGTGGATTGCGTGCAGAGTACCCACATAGACTTGATGGATCAAATGGCCTTTTTTAATGCTATAACATTCTACATTTCTATGAATAAATCTTTAACATTTTGGGAAATAAAAATACAGCTCAAGTTAACTAAGCAAGAAAGAGGTTTCTCCTGAATGCATATAAAAGTACCAACCTTTATTATCGATGGTCTTTGCAGATACCTCAAATGTTTCCAATGGCACTGAACCAATATTCTCTAATTTGATGGTCATCTGTTGCAATTCCCCATTAAATAGCTGAACAGATACACTACTGGACACTTCATCACCTGACGACGGCAATAGCACGTGTGCAGACCTACATCAAAACACAAGATCAAAATGATTTTTGTACAGTTTGACTTCTTTTTTTAAATCAAAATGTTTGTTTCTATGCTATTCATGATAAGCAAACAAAAAATTATTATCCTTACATTTGATATAGAATCTATAATATCAAAACATCTTAAAGTAAATCACAGGAAATTATTTATAATAATCCTTGCATTTGATATAGCACCTTATCAGGTCTTCAAGGCACCTCAAAACTCTTCACATAATATACTGTAAAATTAATTGACTGTATATTTTGTGGCGAAACGCAATCGCCAATTGTGCACAGGCATGACCCACAAACAGTCGTGGATTGATTGACCATATTTTCATTTTTTTAATTCATTGCTTTTTTTAAAAAAAAGGGATTACTATCCCAGGAAAAGCATTCCGCCCATCGATTAACAACCGGGTTCCTACTTACTGCTAGGTAAACTAAGGCTATGTGAAGTAAGGAAACTTGCCCAAAGTTTTGTCCTGCCCGGGAATCAAACCCAGGTCCTCTTGATTGTGAGACAAGTGCTCTAACCACAATGCTACAGGACTCCACCGGTCCACATAATTTGCCTATAAATTATGTATTTGTAGGCAAATATGCCAGCCAATTTGCACACAGTGATATCTCATAAACAGCATGTGAATCACTTATTTTATCTGGTAGATTACTGCCAGGACACAGCAAGAAATTCCTGTCTCTTTTCCAATAATGCCATGGGATTTAGGTAATGACCACCTAAACACTCAAACTGGACCTTCATTTCTAAAGTCTTATCCCAAGAACAGCCTCCAACAACATAACACTCCTCCAACAATGTTGAACCCCTCCAGAACTGCACTGAAGTGTCAGCCTAGATATGAGCTCAAAGTCATGATGTGGGGTTTAAATCCAATAACCTTCTGACCCAAAGTGAAGAGCACAACCAAATGAGCCACCTCATGTTTGTGCTCAAGTGTATCTGCCATTCTTGCCTTTTTGCCCTGTCAAGATTTGCACACTGCTGTCATAACTGTCATGTTGTTATTGCTGAAAAGTTTGTCTGAACTAATGGTATTAATCTTATGCCTACAATAAAATCTGCATGTGTAGCTCTTTCCACAATTATAATCATTGTGCAAACACTGCAATATATAGATTTTTTTTAAACAATGAAATCCATTGCCTCCAATTATTATTTTGCAATTTCAATACGACCATAGATGCCTGTTGTAAATTTAGCTGCAGTTCTAGCATACCACAAAATTATGGTCAAAACATAGACGAATCAAGTAAAATTGCTAATTTTAGGACTATTCAAGTCCATTTGAAATGTTTTGGGAACTTTCTAAAGCAACCCATAAGTAACAGCCCCTCAATATAGCCCCCTGCAGGGAGAGCTTGGAAGTTGTAACTTTTTGGGGAAGTTACAGGGCGGGGGGGCAAAGGTTTATCCCCTTTCATTGCAAATTGTAGAACTATGCTGATCCAGCACCTCATCCCGCGGTAGCCCAAGGGGAATGTCAGGAAAAAGTCAGGCCTTGACCACCCGCCATCCCACCAAAAGACAGTACCAAGACACACTACAAAGGTAATAGGGTGGGTGGGTGAGGGGTGCGTGTGTATGTGAGAGAGAGAAGGCATGAACGAAACAACAAAAGGGATAGAGAGAAAAAAAGAGAGGAGGGAAAGAAGTCCTCCTCCCTGATATGACCCACTTCCTACTGATATTTAATATTTTTGAGAATGAGAGATGAATCTCTAAACTGGTGCTGCTTATTGCTCTACCAATGATCCAATAATAAAACACTGCGGCTAAACAACATAGTGATCTCAATACAGCAAAAATGCACAAGAACATCTGTATTAGCACAGTCCTTTCTCATGATATCCTTCTGATATAGTTCTGATAGTATTAAGAAATATGACTGAGTAGTAGCTACTGCACTCCTATTTCATGACACATTTGATAACAGAAGCAAATCCCATTCAACACATGCACACAAAAGTACATTTTACAGATTTTATCAATGATTATACATGTGTGTTATAAACTTTGTTTCTTTCTGAGAGCACGTTAAAACCCAATGAAATTGCTAGAAAAAAAATTGGATTTCATTGCGACACCATCTCATTTAGAATCTGATATAAACACTACTAAATCTATCTTGCCCTCTAAACACAAAATGACACTGCAATTGACACTCGATCCTGCATTATAAACACATAAACTGACTAACAAATGACTAATACAAACCAACAGTAAAAAGCAGGTTAGTATTAAATAGTTTAACCCAATTTGCTACTGAAGGTATTATCCATTTCTTGAGTAACCACGTTATTTGTTAAGACACATTTGGAGTTTGTTTACTCAGGACAGAAATTCCTTACTTAAATTCCTTATGCAAATTATGTTAAAACATCTACCTAGTGTTGCATGTATGCAGCTTTTTTTTAATCTTTCAACTGAACAAAAACAATTAAGATAACTGCATTCTCTGATAAATAAATTACAAAAACAACTAAAACTAGAGTTAAAATAAAGGTGCAAAGCAGTATATTTTATGTAAGAGCTCCCTCTTCAGGGTCTCAAAGCTCATTACACACCAATACAAGACAATCAAACAGGAAAACGCAGTTCTGAGATATGGCTTGTTTTTTTTAGGCAAGTGCCACGTCAGTGGGCAGCTTGAGCTCGTGGACTGGCTGGCTTCCCATTTGCCAAAAATGGCAGACTTCTGGGACATCATGTCACCACCTCACTTCCTACGTGCTTACATCTGTACACTATTCTCAGGATACCAGCCAGACATGACGTTGGCAGCAATTTGATAACTCAAAAGTGGCCATTTTTGTAACATGTGGCTTTCCGTACCCCCATATATCATGGTGCACAGGCGCTGAATGATTATCATGCCCCTATTGTAAAGCTGTTTGCGATGTTATGCATCGCAACTACCGCCTTATAACAGGGTTCTGCAGTACTTGTAAACCTGAACATTGCTTTATTGCATTGTTACGAAATACCAATTATCCCAATAGAGAACTAAATCAAATATGTGAACTTTTCTTACTATCAATTCAAAAATTAAAGACCGTTTTAGAATTAGAGATCTTGGTACATTCAATTTTCAGTGAGTTTAGGCTGTGCCATCTATTGCATAAAAAATAATCATACTCAAGTTCTCTGTGCAACCCTAGTTTTATTTATAAAGTTCCTTGATTGATTTCATTTCCACACATGAACAGGACTTGTGATGTTAATTCATTATAATTAGTTTAATTACATAAATGTCAGTGTAAGTATCAGCATGAACTCTCGGGCCTCAATAGGGAAAACAGTCTACTTTTTAAACAATGTCTTTAAAAAACCTAAGGAGTTTTGTGAAACAAAATCTTCCCCCTCTAATTCAATGCTGACTAAAATAAGTCAATGTATATGTACTCCTCTAGGCCTACCCAATAGAACAGTTTCCATTGCATTATCAATATGTGGAAAATTCTACCTGAGATGATTTATTCCTTTATGTAGCATTTTCGAGTTTCCAGAACTTGGTAAATAGTTGAATTCAGACTTTGTTTTCTCTAGTTCTTAAAATAACTCAAAATAAAAAGCTTCAAAATTGAGAATACATTTTAAAAATTATCAATTTCTGGACCATTTGAAATCAAAGAGTAAATTTAGACCCAGGTTGAATTTCCCCCCGAATAGATGTTAGGCTGATCAGCTATCATTACGTGGGTCAGATTTGCAACTCTTTATGTAAGATACCAGATAAGCTTATCTCCAGTTCTCATCACCAATGTTTAATGAGTTTTGAACTTCACTGTAAATTTCCTCCTCAGTCTCTTCCAAAGCCCAGAGATACGTGTCTTCTACCCTTGGGGATTTACCATACTGCTTTTATGCTGCAGTTTTAGAAGCTTAAAATCTGAGCCTGCTGTATTTTGAGCCTTTGTCACTTCTACATCGCAACTGCACTTCCGGAAGATGCTTGCTTATTATTATTATGCTTGTTATTTTTCAAGTGCTTGCTTGCTCCTCCATAAAGCCATCCATTCTAATTCTCTTCACCCGTGTCCTCTAATATCCTTCCTCTGCATGTATTTGGCTAATTCTCCTTTGCATGCACCAATTGATTCTGTTCTAACAGCTACCTCTGAGAAATTATTCCATACACCTTACAACCCTTAGTGAGAAGCGTTCTACAGACCCTCATCTTTTACTCTCCGAACCACAATCTTCAATTTATGCCCTCATGTCCTCACATTCTTTTTCAGTGGAAAGAACTTTTGGCGATTAACTCTTTCATATACAATTCTTAAGCCACGTGAGTCTACAGAACTCCAGGGCACTGCTGATGACAGATCAGCTAGCCTGACTCGACAGCAGACTTAGAGAGGCAGACTGGTCACTGGAGTCAAGGATTCATCCTGTTCCGTTCCCGTTCACCCTGCAAACCAATTCCTTAACAAGCAGAGTGGTCCTAACTGGATAAAGGGGGCAGAAAGCTTGCCAGTCAGTCAGTGCTTTATGTGTTTTTTTAGCTGATTAAACTCCATAAATACCCTCAGCACTCTGGGGTCCCCAGGCGTTTGCTCTTGACAGCCTGCACCTCTCCAAAATGAGGTAAGCAGGATACATCCCTTTAGGGAAAGGTACATTCCATTCCAATACAGGGCAATCGTCATGGGTAGGTGGGATACATAGAACTCCTTTGGTATGGATTGAATACTCCTAAGCACAAGTCAGACACCTAGCTCTGTAAAAAAAAATTAGTAGTTACGTAACAAGGATGCACTTCGGCTCTCTGTATCAGCTTTTATTTTAAAAATGAATCACTTAAGGGTACAGAACTGCTGCAGTTTCAATTGTCCTGCTCCAAATAATTTTAAAGGGCTGACAGTATTGCTAATTAAAATTTTAATTTTAAGTACAATAAACGTCATAGTATTTTATAGCATTGAAAAACAACAGGTTTCCTCTGAAAATAATTGATATCAGATTATCTTGATACATTACAGCTTTATGGTTTTCAATGTTTCTGTGAAATATAAAGCATCTGTTTAAAGGTAAATGTGGGTCTTATTCTTTCATTTTATTTGTATTTTGCTGTGATCATATTCATCACATAGCACACATCACAATTAACAGAAAAGTCACTCATATCAAAGCCATTTTATCACAAAGCTAGACTCAAACTGAGGAAACTACCATTTTTACCATCTTCCGTGCATCCCTAAGTTTTCCTTCCAAACTCAGTTCATTTACTTGCTTGGCTTGCCTGCTATCTCACTACATTCCATCTAAACAATTTTCATGACCAATGGTGGATCATGATCATCAAGACAATGAAGTCACTGCAAGGATGCAATGAGAATTTGACTTGACCTGCATCATTGAAAGAGTGAAAATAGCTTGCATATCACCCGTTTGCAAGTGTAAGAAAGCGATGTGATAAAGCTGTACTGAGATAAGTTCAGTTTACATCAGGCACTCGGCACATATGGAGTCATATACAATAACCTATACTTTACAACTATTATAAAACGCAGCAATGCATGAAAACATATCATCGGACAACCGATATGGAGTATTGATAATTAAAATACGATCAGTGGAGATTGAATAACATAGTATAATGATAAACACTACATTACGCAATCGTAGCCTTCAATTTCCCATGTGGCAAGTCCTCAATTTCAGCCAAACTATGCCTGAAATGATGTTTGATACTTCCACAAAGGACTTAAAAAATTAAGAGAATACATCATTGCTCTTGCATCCTTCTTGCTGATCAGATAGAATTGCAATAATAAATCCCAATCTAGAGAATTGTGCATAGTATTTGGGAGTGGAGCAGGTGGGAGAAAGATGAGAAAATCTTGATAATAGGAAAGAACACTCAAAAAAAATACAAGCAGATTTAAGTTGATTGGCTAATGTTAAAGATTAACTTACAAAAGATGAATTTAAAGTGTGTGATATGCATTAAATACTTGCTTTTAAAGATAAAATTAAGTTTATTCATGTTTTATTTAAGTTAAGGTTAAGCATTACAAAATAGCAAACGTCTAATTAAAATGTCAAAATAACTTATGACTTCCATTGTGACATTTTGCTTTTGCTAATTATAAATCCATACATATGCTGTACAACCAGGATTCGAGGTCTTCCTACAAATAAAAAACAATCACAGTGGAAAATACCAAAAAGGATTTTCACTGTTCAAAAGATTATTCAGCAGATTGCAGATGTACCTAAAATAGCAACTTTTGCACATTCTAGTCTCTGGCATATCTATATAGAAGCTTCAGAACCATGTGCCAAATGAGCCTGTTAATCCATGCCTGAGGGTTAGGTGCCAAAAATAGATATAAGTAGAAATCTTGTGAAGGGATCATATGCAAAATTTTGCATTCAACACAAAGGTTGCTGCAAGGCTATTCCACATAGTTTAGAACACAGTCTTTTTTTAAAATCTATTAATACATCAATGCTTTGAAATTTGCTATAATTATCCATTGCAACATTCCTGTGAAATGTCAAAGATAAGGCATTCACACATCAGTTGACTCATATTTAGATGGATTTGATAACAAAATATCACGCTAGGTGCCCGAGCTTCAGCTTATACATTCCTCACTTCTGAAATATCCTCCCTCCACTCACCTTTAAACCTATCTTTTCAATTGGGTCTATGATTACCTCACTCTTCCCCTCACTGCTCAGCAATCAACTCAATCACTGTTAATCCCTCTGAGACGTTATCCTATGCAAAAGGCACAATATAAATCCAATTTGTTGCTGCCATATTATGCTGTAAATTACAAACAATGATATAACATACAGAACCCGAGAGGTAAATCGTACAGACTAAGCCTGAATGTATGTCAGAAGATTAAAAGGTCTTGCACTAAAGCAAAAATGGCAAGTTGGAACCACTCCATTATACTAGTGACAATAATAGAGTAACCAAATATTAAATATTAAAATGCGGCCTATAAAAGCAGCAGTACCAAGGTGGTTAAGTGGCACTTGAGGAATATTCATCTATTAAATGGAAGGGGAAAGTTTCCCTGCCAAGTTTATAGTAAAAGACTCCAATAATCTGCATCAAGAAACAATGAGATTCCAATGACAGAAATTCACAGAAGTCTCTTTTGTGATGGTGGAATAGTGGAATATGAGTGTCACTTTAATACATGGGATGCAAATTACCTCAGCAATCACCATGAAGGCTCTCGAATACAATGACCTAAGTCCAGCGCCTTGGGACATCCTCCCAACATGAAAGGCGCTATACAAATGTAATCTTGCTGTTGTTGTTAAGTCCTAATTTTGATGTCCCAAACCTGTCAATGGCAATCTGCTATCAGCCACTAGCAATCTGGCTAAAGGCAGATCATGGGATTTCCATATGCTTTGCAAAATCTTCACGTATGCTAGACTGCTCTCTCTTACTAAGATCTGACAAACCATTTCTCATGGTGGACCACTATCTTTCTCCAAGATCTGTCAGCTTCAAATCCAGAGCAGGTTGGAGTGGTAACAATGTCAGACATACCCACAATCAGAGAACTTCAAATTGATGCCTTCATATTCTTAAAGATTCATATTAAATTATGCTTCATCAAATTTACTCCATTGTGGATTGCAGTGCAGTCATTCAATTGTCCAGCATAACATGTCAAGTCTACAAGGAGCTTCAATCCTCTGAACTGTTCATCAATTGTATCAGGTAACTGACAGATATCAGCACTGATATTGTACAATTTGTTTTTTTTAAGGTTGACTGCAGATCTCCGTACTCACCTACTCCTCTATTGAATCATCAGTTGTTGAACACCAACACCAGTTGAACAGACCTCAGTTTATCTTTCTGACTTCTTGCCAGATCCTCATTTGTGAATATTGTATTCAATGGCCAGAATCTCTTTCCAGACTACCCTCCTGTTCCATAATTTTGAAGCTGGAATCCATAACTATATAGGTAATTTGGTGGAGATTGCTCAATTTATTAATACACTAACAGATTGGCCCAATCTTAAATCACTCTTGGGGGATTGTGCAGTCTAGCACATTTACACCTGACAGGAACCAGTTTCTGATCACCAGCCAAAAAACTTTGCTAGAAATTGGGCTTGCGCAGACATCAAGCATGCTCAGCTGTGATTTCCTCGAGTCAAATTGCTTGCCGAAATCACTTTTAGGTTTATACCCCAGCATAAATAAGCATCTTCAGGAAAGCAAGGAAAATACTGAAAAAAGTGCCCATTATACTAATTATTTGATAAATCAGCTTGCACTTCATGGTTGAAAATAGATTTCTGAGGCACAAACAGCATTTTCAGTTGAACATATATAGCACAAATTATGCCAATTAGTGCTTGCTATATGTCATCAACTACAATTTATATTGTTGGATATACTGAATTAATGAGTTAATAGTTGTATTTTGTGGGGGTGCAGCAGCAATAGGTCAGGGGAAACAAATTATCAGATGTCTGGTCAAGATTGAAATGGGAAGTTATTACCTTCTGCACAGTAAAGAACTTCATAACCTCAGATAAATGCATTAGAAAAAGATGGCAAGGATAATTTATTTAACTTCAAATTTTTTTGACGTAATCAATTTAGGTTAAGAATATTTTTGGATGGATTTCATCGGCCAATTGGAGTGAGGATCCTGACAGTAGCCAAAAAATCCAAAATGAGTCATGCATCTTTCTTCACACACCATGAGGCAGTGCAGAAGTAATGATCGGCGATTGTGTCGTTGTAGCATTTGTTGGGATTTTATGGTATTGTCCATGTACTCTTGTGCTGCAGATGGATAGTCCCATGAATGATTAATTGGTAATTATAATAATATTTGGCTTTCACATTAGAAGGATGTCTAAAAGCTTTTCACAGATGTACAACAACTTGCATTTATATGGTGCCCTTCACATGGGGTAGTGTCCGAGAGCACTTGGGGACTCTAAATATTTTACAGTACATATTTTACAGATGTGCAGTAAAATATTGGAAATGTGCGATTTGTGGGCAAATATGGCAGCCAATTTTCACACAGCAGTAGTATTAAATACATGGCTAATAATCAATTATAACTACAATCAGACCCCATCAGTTCAACACCAGTCTGTAGAGCTGAGATACATTAGAAGTACTATAGATTTCTTGCTTCTGACTGACTAGGTGGTTTCTTGTTCATTGCATGCAGGAAGCAACCTTCAAGGCACTTCCTGCACACAACACAGCACACAGGCGATGATGTCAACAGCAGCACCTGGACATAACGCCCTTGCACAGTGCACAATTAGTGATGTTTGTGTGAGCCTAATAACCCAATAGTGCTGACCAGCAACCAATGTTCCACACCACAGTGGGGTCTGAATTTATGGACCCAAACCACCACATTGTAATGGGGACCAAATGTATTAGTAACCAACAAAGGTAAACACTAATTACACCAAAGCATATGTCAAAGACAACTTAAACAAGCTAATTAACCACCAATATAAAATCAGGAATATTTGATTTAAAAGATGAATGTTTGTGCTGCAGCCTTTGAGAAGCATTGCAATAGTTAATGACCAGACAGTATATTAAATAACAAATTTGTATAATTATGGATAATCAGATTGCATTTTACTCATTTCACTGACAAAGTTTGAGAACGAGTATCAGGTATAATATAAAAACATTGTTGCATTTGATATAGCGCCCTTCAAACTGGAAGGACATCTCAAAGCACTTCACAAGATTTACTGCAAAATGCAGTAATGCTGGGAGATCTTCAACTTCCACCTGAATTGGCAAACGAGACCCCAATTATAACATCTTGCTCAAGGATGGCACCTCCGACAATGCAGCACACCTCCAATATTGCAGTGGCAGCTTAAACTGTATGAGTTCAAAGTTCCAACATAGAGCTTGAAGCCCCAACCTTCTGATTCAAAAGTAAGAGTGCTACCAACTGAGTCAGACTGACAACTAAAATCATCTCAATACTGAAAAATGGAACCTAACCTTCCACATGAAAAAAATCTTAAAAGGATTTGTCAACCGCATGAATAGAAGTGTATATGTTAAATAAAGTACAACACAATCAATACATTTCATTTGGTATTACCACGTCTACAATCTTATGTGCAAAATAATTTAATCTAGATTTTTGAGACTAAAAATTTATTATAATTTCCACTGTTCCAATTTCCAAAAGAACTATAGCGACAACCAGGCTAAAAAAAGCACGACAGGCAACATGACTATGTATACAAAATCAATTTTGGAATATTTGCTGCATCACGTTTCAGCAAACAAAAAAACAGCAGATGTAATAAAAATTAAACTCAAAAGCAAGCATTTACACATGTACAGGCTCAAGAAATATCTCAATTCATTTAATCTACAGGTAAGTTTCAAAAACAAATGAGGGTCAAATGATTGGATTAAAAAAGAGCCGAAGGTCAAACAAAACAAGACTGCAAATGGTCTGGCTCATGAGTTGCTGGGGTGGTTATTCAGAGTTCAAGGTGAGGAGGCTTTGACAGGAGCTCAACAGGATGGTTTAACGTCTGTCAGTGTTTAGTTGAAAGTTAAGGCTCATCCAGAACCATAGGTTTGACAGTGCAGTGACAATTATATACCATACTTCACATTTTTCACAGAAGTCATCTAAGGTGCAATTATCCATCATCAGCTCTCTTCATAAGAACATTATATCCTGTATATGTATACACATAAAATGTACTGTCAATTCTTACCATTTACAGTGATCTGTCCTGTTGTACAAGGAACCCCAACAAGTGTAACTGGGTACAGCCCTGATTCAGCAGGAAGAGAGAGTGCAGCTGGGAGAGATTCAAATTCAACACCACTTATCAGAAGTCCCTGCAGGATTAATCAGGGGGTGGGGAAGAAAGGGTGTGTGAGAAAGAATTTTAATCAAATGCAGTACAATTTCATTTTTTAATTGATTTATTAATGGTGTCTTAGTTTGTTGGGTTTACAGCCTCAGTTTAAAAAATTGTAAGCCTTTTCTTTTGCAATATTTTTGTGCACAAAAGTTTCTGTCATAAGCAGACCAAAAGATGCTAGCAATAGATAACATATCGTAATACTTCTCCCTTTCCAATTAACAGTCTAGCCTACTATAACAGGCTTCACTAAAGCGTGAACACTTCTCATGTGGTTGCACTGTGGAACCTGTTCATTGCGTATGTATGCAGCCAGTCTACTTGTTTCCGTTGTACCAACTTCCAGTTCATTAGGTTGAACCAAAGTGGGAACATCTTTGATTGAAAAAACTCAGGATTTGTTTTGGAATTTAGTTTGGCACATCCAAAAAACTGATGAAGTTGTTCCATTCTGCCTGCAATAAACTTAGGCAAAAAATATTACTTCATTTTCACTCTGTCAGATCGGTAGAACGTAGCTCTGTCAGAAATAAATGTGAGCAATTATGATGCAAAGTAACACACTTGGACAAGAACATGCCCTGAAGTACATTTTGTACATATAGTACCATTCTGAGGTTATTTCCACACCATTTTAGGGTTTACAGGTCACCTGTGAATGAGGATTTGCACATCAATCAGTAAGACTAAATATGGGTACTAAGCCGATGTGATCTTTGCACCATTACAGTGTTCAAAGGTCATCTGTGACCATGCCACTGTGAATCAATCAACTGAACTACAATGCATGTGAATCCCAGATCAAAGAAAAGTTGAGATTTTTTACACAAGTAATACTCACTTACCATCTTCGTATAAAATTTAAATGGCTTTTTTTCATAAAGTGCTGATACTTAAACTTATCTAATAGCAGCATAAATGCAGCACAAAGTAGAATGGAGCCACCAAATACAATTTTAATGTAGTTAATTGCTAGATTTGAATTTTTATTATTAGGCCAGAATTGGCTCGGCACTTAAGTTTGTGAAGATAGGGCCCAAAGGAGATACATTTTAAATGTAGGTAAAATATGATTGGAAATTCATAGAGATTTGAATCAGCTAGTAATTTAGGCTGTATTAAAAAGGAAATTGCATTATGAGGGTAAAGTGACAGCTGAACACATTCTTTTACACAAGTACCAACGAAAAAAATTGGTATGCATTTAACATTATCTGAACAGTTCAGTTGTTGTACTGCAATCTCATTAAATATAACTATAACATTTTGTCAACTGAAATATCACAGAATACATTGGTTTGAAAGTTCTGACAGCTCATCATAATGAAAAGCTATAGTGGTGAATTTCACTGATATTTAAACTAACATTCAATCCACACCGGAGTGATCCAGACACTTTGCAAATTTTCCAAGTGAACGAGTTATACAAGAAAATAGGTACAACTAAGATATCACAGGCACAAATTGTTCCTACCACTGTCAAAAGGCACATTGATGCCTGTAATGCACCACTTTTCTTCCCAACTTTGATAATTAACATTTTAAGAATGAAAACAACACTAATCTTATTTAATTCCTGATCATTTTTGCAGCCATGATGTTTTTGCAGATGATGTTTTGCACAAATTAATAGGTTACATCAAAACGTAGCTAAAGACAAAAGCTTGGATTCATCAAAATTAAGCTTCAATTTGTTTTTTCAAAAAGCAAGTAAAGTGCATTAATTATGCAAAATAATGGTGAAATTATGCATGATTAACATATTTTAATCATACAATTACTCCCTCCCTCAGAAATGTATTTGGGATAACTTCAGACTCAGTCTTATTGCAGCACCTGTATCTATCTACTTTTGATTTTCACAATAGCAATTTAACTTCTCCCTTTCAGCTACAGCTTTATAACACTCCAAAATTACCATTTTTAATCATAACCATATAATCATAGACTTAAAATATTGAAAGGACCAGACTTTGAGATTATCAACAGTTAAAGAACAAAAACAATTCTCAACACAAATAAGGTATCTATTGAGAGTATGTTTGATCCTAAACTTAAAATGCCAAATTAACATTTGTAAATTCACAATTTCCAAAAACTCATCTTTTGAAGTAAAGTAAGAACCTAATAAAGTTTAGTTTATCTCACTGAGCATAAGTGTGTGTAGAGAGGTAAGGCTTTGAGAGGTAAGCAGCTGCTGTTTAAGCTCCACATCTCCAACTTGCGGAACCATCGCTCAATGGGAAAGTACTTTAGGACACTGCTACTGATAGTCCAGCCAGCCTGACTCATTGGCAAGACTTGGTAGGGCAGACCAGTCACTGGGGACAAGGATTCTTCCCACTCAGCTTCTGTTAATCCTGCAAGCCAAAACCCTAACAGGTAGGTTCTAGCTGGACGAGCAGAGGGAAAGCTTGCCAGACGGTGCTTTCAATTGCAAGCTAACAATACACAATCTGGGGTCCCCAAGACTTGGCTCTTGCCATCTGTACCTATTCTTCTTCAGAATTAGGTTAGCAGGATGTGTCCCTCGAGAGAGCAAATGCATATTCCATTACAATAAATAGGTGGGACATTCTTAGGAATGCTGATGGATTTCCACATATGTACGACACCCAGGTGACCAAAAAAAGTTTTTGCATCCAGGTATGAAGTATTCCTTTGAAAGTAAAGAGTTTGATAAAAGAATGCCAACTGAGATGACCAGCTGAAGTTCAACAACTGCTTTCAGGTGCAAAGACAGGAACAATCAACTTCCAGCATCCCAATTTCAATCAGGTTTGAATTTCAAATTGCTATAATAATAGTAATCCTTGCATTTGATATAGCCTCTTATGCCTTTGAGACATCTCAAAGCACTTCACAGAATATACTGTAAAGTGAATTGACTGTATATTTTGTGGGCGTAATGTGGCAGCCAAACGTGCACAAGTGTCCCACAAAGAGTCGTGAATTGAAGGGACCAATTTATTATTACTTTTTGAAGGAATTATTACCCCCGGAAAAGCGATCCACCAATCGACTAACAACCAGGTTCCTACTTACTGCTAGGTAAACAGAGGCGTATGGAGTAAGAACATTTGCCCAGCATTTCACCCTGCTGGGAATCAAAACCAGGTTTCTCGCTTGCGAGGCGAGTGCTCTAACCACTGAGCTATAGGACTCCATGCTATAGTGTACTGATCGGAAGAAAACCTCTCAAAAACACAACAATGGTATATAAACCAAAGTTGTTCCATTGCATCTTTAATTTATCTCCTTGCGATTTATGTTTTGACTGTTTGGGATGGTTATGGAATATGGGGTAGGGTAGGCTTTAGGTTGTGGCACTTTTTTTTTAAACACTTTTTTAAAAAAAGTCTGTTAAACTTCGATTCACCCCACAAGTGTTATCTCATATTTTAAAAAGAACTTCCAAACCTGACACAATGGGCAAAGTTGGTAACATCATGATTGCAAATCCATGTCTTATTGTTCGGTGCACGGAATATTTTTTAACAATCTGCTTTGCTTTACTAGTTGTTGACGTTAAGTATAAATCAATACAAAAAAGTCTGAAATCAGAAACCATTAACATAAATAGCCATGAATATACTTAACAAATGATTATTGATGTCAATTAATACAAACCATGTTTTCTGCTCTTAGTTCAAAAGGCATAGGATTATAGACCATCAGCTGGACTTCACAAACATCTCCCTGCACCCACTGAAAATCTGGTAGGGAGAAAACAGAAAAGATTTACAAGTACAAAATTGTTTCACTTGTCTCATCATTTTTGTACTACCCAAGTAAAAAAAAGTATATAATGAGAAATTCAGATTTATTATATACATTTTGTTGAAGTTTTTGGTCATCAACAACACTATGGAGCTATAAAGATGTCACTCCACTTCACGGCAAATCCCATGAAGCACATGATTATTTACTATTACACCGTTGGCAAATGCACGTTCAAAAATAAATTGTATGTCAGCTTGGCTCACTTTGTAGCACTCTTGCCTCTGGGTGTCAAGACTTGAGCTTGTAGTCCAGGCTGACACACCAGTGCAAAGCTGAGAGGAACATCATATTTTCAGAAATGTCATCTTTCTGCTCATGTGGAATTTATATATTTCACTCTCGATAAAGACAAGTGCTTCTCCTGGTGTCCTGGCCAACAGATCATTCACTTCATTGCTGTTTTGGGAACCTTACTCTGTGCAAAATGGCTGCCACGACTGCTACAAAAGAGTCACTATATTTGACAGTGATTATTGTAAAGTGCTTTGAAATATTTAGACTGGACAAGCTATTATAAAAATATAAGATTTCTAACTAAAAATATCATTTGACCTTAGGTACAATTATTCAATACAATTTCAATACAATACAGTTGTCTGGTTTGTCATTTCAAGTTCTGTAGTTTTTGTGGACATAAACACAAGAAGACTGTTAACAACTGATTAAACAAAGCTACATAAAATTGGTAGCAAGATTGATCAACAGCAGAACATTCTTGTGCAATATTCTCAAATAGAAACTGCCATTTAGCTGTCACTGAAAAATTATGATGTTAAGGCAATATTAGACTTTGTCATACATATAAAAAATCCTTTATTTACATACTTCATCCAAGATTGCTAATTTATGGTGAACTATTGGATGTTAAAGGGGCACAATCATACGACCAAGTGTTTGACAAACCATTGACTTGTTCACAAACATAATTCAACATAAATTGAATAAGAATCCATGATTGCATTATGATCATGCAACCCAAATAAAATTATGCAGATTTTCTGGCTTTTTCTAGACCCAAACAAAATGTTTTTCCAAAACTGTTTCTCTTTGAAAATTTATTGCCGCTTTAACTTCATTAGAAGACTCAATAAGTCTCACTCAAAATCTGTAGAGAATCAACATTCACTGCGGAAGTGAAAAATACTGGTTGACTTTTATGCAATCAACTGCAGAGCCATGAGAATGCGATCTCTCATGCATTGTACGGTATGTATATTTCTCCATACTATTAGTAAGCCGTTAGAATATATTTAATGTGTTTTTAACTTGTTCTGTATTTAGCTCAGGCTCTGGCAGCATCAACCTCCATGGTTGCTCACTACAACTCACCAAGCCAGTCAGGAACCTAGGTGTCTTGTTCGACCTTCAACTGTCTTTTCTTCCCCACATCCAAGCCATGACCCACTCTGCCTTCCCTCACCTCCGTAACATCACCCGAATCCGCCACTATCTCACCCCTCAGGCCGCTGAAACTCTTGTTCATGCCTTCATCACCTCCAGGCTCGACTATGCAAACGTCCTGCTTATCAGCCTTCCCAATTCCTCCCTCCACAGACTGCAGATAATCCAGAACTCTGCAGCCCATGTCCTCTCCCGCACCAAACTCCACGACGCCATATCCCCCATTCTCACCCGACTCCTTGGCTCCCTATCCTTCAGAGGATCCAGTTCAAGATCCTGGTCCTCACCTACAAAGCCCTCCATGGCCTCGCCCCACCCTACCCTGCAACCTCCTAACCTCCTACCAACCCGCCCATTCCCTACCGCTCAGCCGGCTCTGGCCTGCTTCACGTTCCCCAACCCACCCGCCCCAACATTGGCGGGAAAGCGTTCAGCCACTCTGCCCCCAACCTCTAGAATTCCATTCCCCAGTCACTCCGCCTCGCCCCCTCTTTAAAACTCCACCTCAAGACCCTCCTCTTCGACCATGCCATCGGTCATCCCCCTTCCCCTCCCCTTTCCTTCCCTGATCCCAGCTCGGGTCTGAAATGCTGTGCACTGTCCAGCGCCTTGGGACATCGTCCCGACATGAAAGGTGCTATACAAATGTAATCTTGTTGTTGTTCCTGTTCCCTATCTAAACTGCATCAAGAAACAATTGTTTTCCAAAAACAATACTTTCTGAGCCATAAACTGGAAACAGCAAGCATTTTCATTCCTGTATCCAGGAAAGAGATGGGGATTCTCAATATACTTTTTTTATTTAGATCAATACAACTCACCTAGAGTAAACATTCAGCTGTCAGGGAATAACAATCATCGATAATTGAGCCCATTTTTAAACTCACCTAAATGGAACACTAAAATGACTACCAAGCGCGCCTCCAGGCTTGAAAGAAATCCAATAGTTGGATTATATAAAGTTATGTGGTCTCTTGTTGAAGCTGAAGAAATATTAGGGTATATTACACACCATTCCATCTCTGCTTATCTTCTGCTAACTGGACTTACAAAAGAAATCAAAGTTGCCGCAGCACATAAACAATATAACCTCATTTTCCGAGTTGTATTTATTGTTCTGCGTGAGCAAGCTGAGCAAACACCCGAATAAATTATATTACTAAAAAGACAGTTAGTGTCACATTTCCTGAAGATGAACCTTGGTTTTCAATTCTTAATTGGAAAACCCTCAGTAAGAGAAGTGATTATCAGAGCAAAATGCAAACTAATCCCCATTCTAATACTATAACTCTTTTTGGATTTTATTCAATTACTCCAAGTTTATTTGACTACAATCATATTCCAGCTAGGTCACAAAAAAATTATTGGTTTCTGAAACTATTATAAAGTTCTCAGAGAATCACTTGGCAGCAGTCTGTTCATTTTAATTTCATTTTGTTCTTCAAAATAGAATGTTATTCATATTACCACATTCCTTTAACGTCTATTGCAATTTGAAATAGACCATGTAAATTCTGAATAATACGACTGCCTCCTGAATTTTCATATTCAAGATAGTTCTGTTACTGAAGAGAATCAGACCAAAGAAATGGGGAACATCAATTTAATCTGAATAACATTTCACATCTCACATACTCGTGTACCAAACTAATTTTTTAGTTGTTTAAAATTCCTCTATTCATTTGCATTTCTTATCCAAGAAACTGAAGAAATATACACTAAATCGCGTAATTAAATCTCCAAATAGAAAGTCACAGAATAACCTTTCAGCACTGCCACAGGGCCACTTAATAGCATTCTCTGTACCACCAGGGCTCAACAATCTATGTACAAACCAACTCAAGCATTTAAAAACAGTTCCAACATGTAAGGAAAGGGATATTTAATACAAAGCTGAAGGCAAAACACTAACTCAGCCTTATGCTCTAGGACGAAAAATTAAGAGTCAGTCAGATGCATGCAGTTTATGAAAACTATCCAACCGAGTGTCAGTGCTCAGTAAAATATCATAAGTAAGCCAACATGTGAGGGTACGTGACGATATTTTTTTCAGACTTATTTGTGAAACATCCTTTTTTTAATGAAATGAAGTCATAAAATTCAAGCTGCCTATTTACGAAAGCTGCCACAAGATTTGGATAGGAGCCGGCACAGACACGATGGTCCAAATGGCCTCCTTCTGTGTTGTAGAATTCTATAACAAAAACAGAGAGAGCTGGGAAAACTCAGCAGGTCAGGCAGCATCTATGGAGAAAGGAAAGTGAGTCAACGTTTCAGGTCCACGACTCTTCGTCAGAATGGACGAAAGGTCATGGACCCGAAACGTTGACTCACTTTCCTCAGAATGGACGAAGGATCGTGGACCCAAAACGTTGACTCACTTTCCTTTCTCCATAGATGCTGCCTGACCTGCTGAGTTTTCCCAGTTCTCTCTGTTTTTGTTTCAGATTCCAGCATCTGCAGTATTTTGTGTTTTGTACAATTCTATGATGATTCTAAGAACTGTATTAGAGCATTGCTATCATAATGTAATCCATTTTCCCTTCACCTCCAATCTCGATAGGCCTCCTGCTCCATAAACTTCTGTGCCTATTCATGATCTTCTCAGCCACCATTTTCTTTCTACATTTGCTGTCCAGTGACAGAATCCAAGGGAATGTTTGAGAGCCGAGCTTATCCAGTTACCAAAGAACAATTTGACTTGCTGTATTAACATTAAAAGGCTTATAGCTTTAATAACAGGTTCCGAGGTCTTTTAATCCCTTCTTAAAGGAAGGAAACTTACATTAAAGTCAAACATAATTTCCAAAAGAATTTTCACTTTATTTTTCTTTGAATGCTGAGATAAGCCTCCTACGAACAGCTGGCTTCTACTTAATAAATGCTTCAGTGGGATCATTATGCTGTACAGAAAAATCTGTGAAAAATGACAAAAATTACTTATTTAGCATTTAGAACTATAAGGCTTGGGACGACAGCTGTGGGAAAGCGTTACCTGGAGTCCAACAACTGATATTTATATATGCAAGTTTATACAACAACAACCAGATTACATTTGTATAGCACCTTTCACGTCGGGAAGACATCCCAAAGCGCTGGACAGTGTACAGCATTTCAGAGGGGGCAGAGTGGCTGAAGGCTCTCCCGCCAATGGTGGGGCGGGTGGGTCGGGGGACGTGGAGCAGGCTGAGCGGAGGGAGCGGGTGGGTTGGTAGGGGGTTAGGAGTTGACAGAGATAGGGTGGGGCGAGACCATTGAGGACTTCGTATGTGAGGACCAGGATTTTGAACTGGATCCTCTGAAGAATAGGGAGCCTTATATCTGCAAGTCCAGGTTTGTGAGCTCACATTCATATATCCAAGGATTTGAATTCACCTTTATTGGTATCCAGAGAGGTAAGCAGATGCTGCTCAATCTCAACAACTTTAATTAGTAAAAACATAATTTAATGGGCAGGTGTATAAACTACCAGATACATTATTTTAGGTTTGCTGATATCAAATGCAACCCAAGGCTGCTGTAAATATAATAA